CTTTTATGGCTGAGTAGTATTCCATGGTGTGTGTGTGTGTGTGTATTTATCCACTTGTTATTTGGCCTGGTTTCGTGTTTTTGCAATTGTGAATTGTGCTGCTATAAATATACATGTGCAAGTATCTTCTTTGTATAATGACTTACTTTCCTCTGGATAGATACCCAGTAGTAGCATTGCTAGATCTACTGGTAGTTCTACTTTTAGTTCTTTACAGAAACTCCACAGTGTTTTACACCGTGTTTGTACTAGTTTAAATTCCCACCAGCAGTGTAAAAGTGTTCCTTTTTCACCACATCCATGCTAGCATCTATTATTATTGTTTGATTTTCCGATAATGACCATTCTTGCAGAAGTAAGGTGATATTGCATCTGGTTTTGATTTGCATTTCTCTGATCATTATTGATGTTGAGTATTTTTTGATATTTTTGTTGGACATTTGTATGTCTTCTTTTGAGAATTGTCTATTCATGTCCTTAGCCCACTTTTTGATGGGATTGTTTTTTTCTTGCTGATTTCTTTGAGTTTCTTGTAGATTCTGGATATTAGTCTTTTGTCAAATGGATAGATTGTGGAGATTTTCTTCCATTCTGTGGGTTTTCTTCCACTCTGTGGGATTGCAGAGCTTTTCTCCCACTCTGTGGGTTGTTCATTTACTCTGCTGATTGTTTCTTTTCATGTGCAGAAACTTTTTAGTTTAATTAAGTCCCAAGTATTTATCTTTGTTTTTGTTGCATTTGCTTTTGGGTTCTTGCTCATGAAGTCTTTCCCTACGCCAATGTCTAGAAGGATTTTTCCAGTGTTATCTTCTATTATTTCTATGTTTTCAGGTCTTCGATTTAAGGCCTTGATCCACCTTGAGTTGATTTTTGTATAAGGTGAGAGATGAGGATGCAGTTTCATTCTTCTGCACGTGGCTTGCCCATTATCCTAACACCATTTGTTGAACAGGGTGTCCTTTCCCCACTTTATGTTTTTGTTTACTTTGTCAAAGATCACTTAGCTGTTAGTATTTGGCTTTATTTCTGGGCTCTCTATTCTCTCTTTTTTTTGAGATGGAGTCTCGCTCTGTTGCCCAGGCTAGAGTGCAGTGGCACGATCTCGACTCACTGCAAACTCCGCCTCCTGGGCTTATGCCATTCTCCTGCCTCAGCCTCCTCAGTAGCTGGGACTACAGGCGCCCACCACCACGCTCAGCTAATATTTTGTATTTTTAGTAGAGACGGGGTTTTACCATGTTAGCCAGGATGGTCTTGACCTCCTGACCTTGTGATCCGCCCACCTTGGCCTCCCAAAGTTCTGGGATTACAGGCATGAGCCACTGCACCCAGCCTCTGGGTTCTCTATTCTATTCCATTTATCTATATGCCTATATACCAGTACCACGCTGTTTTGGTGACTATGGCCTTACAGTATAGTTTGAAGTCAGGTAATGTGATGCCTCCAGATTTCTTCTTTATGCGTAGTCTTTCTTTGGCTATGTGCTCTTCTTTTTGCTTCCATATGAACTTTAGGATTTTTTTTTTTTTTTTTTTTTTTAGTTCTGTGATGAATGACAGTGGTATTTTGATGGAAATTGCATTTGTAGATTGCTTTTGGCAGTATGGTCATTTTCACAGTATTGATTCTACCCATCCATGAGCATAGGATGTGTTTTCATTTGTTTCTGTCATCTATGATTTCTTTCAACAGTGTTTTGTAGTTTTCCTTGTAGAGGTCTTTCACCTCCTTGGTTAGGTATATTCTTAAGTATTTTATTTATTTATTTAGCAGCTATTATAAAACGGGTTATTGATTTCATTCTCAGCTTGGTTGCTGTTGGTGTATAGCAGAGCTACTGATCTGTGTATATAAATTTTGTATCCTGAAATTTGCTGAATTCATTTATCTAGGAGCTTTTTGGGTAAGTCTTTAGGGTTTTCTAAGTATAAAATTATATCATCAGCAAACTGCAACATTTTTACTTCCCCTTCACCAATCTGGATGTCTTTATTTCTTTCTCTTTTATGATTGTTCTGGCTAGGACTTCCAGTACTATGTTGAATAGAAGGGATGAGAGTGGGCATCCTTGTCATGTTTGTGTTCTCAGGGGGAAAGCTTTCAACTTTTCCCCATTCAGTACTACATTGGCTGTGAGTTTGTAATAGATAGCTTTTATTACAGTAAGGCAGGTCCCTTCTATGCCGATTTTTCTGAGGGTTTTAACCACAAAGGGATGCTGGATTTTGTCAAACGTTTTTTCTGCATCTATTGAGATGATCATGTCATTTTTGTTTTAAATTCTGTTTATGTGGTGTATCATATTTATTGACTTGCATATGTTAAACCATCCCTGGTATGAAACCCACTTGATTGTGGTGGATTTTCTTTTTGATATGCTGTTGGATTCTGTTAGCTAGTATTTTGTTGAGGATTTTTGTATCTATATTCATCAGGAATATTGGTCTGTAGTTTTCTTTTTTTGTTATGTCCTTTCCTGGATTTGGTATTAGAGTGATACTGGCTTCATAGAATGATTTAGGGAGAGAGGATTCTCTCTTTATCTTGTGGAGTAGTGTCAATAGGATTGTTACCAGTTCTTTCAATTTCTGAGAAATTTAGTGGGACATTAAAATATCCCACTAAACTTTTGAATTTTATTTTGTCAACTGTTAAAATTTAAACTGAGACTATATTTTTAGTACATAATAATTAATTAGTATAATATCTTCCTTTACTATTATAAAATATTTCCCTTTTGCTCAAATAATGCTCTATTTTTACTTACTGTCTACTTTGTCTGATATTTAAACTATAGTAGCTTTTTCATGTGTAAATTTCCATTCAAATTTCACTTTCTATATCTTTACATATAATGTACTGCAACTGCAAGTGATTATTGTAAAATCTGGTTGGACAGTCTTTGTCTTTTAAAGTTGGAGACTGTAATGCATTTATATTAACTGTGATCAATTGAATCATTCATTTGAAATTCTGTGTTTTCTCTCCATTCTGGCCATGCTTCAATGTGAGTTGAGCATATGTCCCGCCTCATTGACTTTACGTTTCTCCATGTGTCATTTGGCCCCTGGGATATAGGTAAAATAATTTCTGCCTCCTGTGCATCTTCTCTATAGTATTGGAATATCATTTCTAAGATAAGAGGGTCTCTCTTAGCCTGAGTCCCAAAATAAGAGGACAAGAGGAATACACCAGAACCCACCTGACAGCCTGGAGCTGAGCTGCCAAAAATCTACTCCTTGGCTGCTAGAAAGCAGTGTAGCAACTAAACAAAACAAAACAAAAAATATTTTGCAAGTCACAGAGGCACTTAGGCTGTATTAATATGAGTGTAACCTAATAAAGGCTAATAAATATAGAAAATAATTCCAGAACTGTTGTGTTGCTATAAAAAACGTAAAATATGCATTATTAGCTTCTGGGTGGGGAAAATTCTTACAGGTGACTGAAAAATAAATGGTAACCCACATTATACAGTGTCATACCATTTGGTAAGATTATCACTTGTGATAACTTGAAAATCAGGGAAGTTACTTAATAAACAACTTTGCCTAATTGCTGGCAATTCAGAATGTTATTAGCTTTAGTTGATTGTTTTCACTGCATTTCTTAAGTTATTTTAAGATAGAAATGAGCTAAAAAAATTGGTATGTTTACCAGCAGGAATGAAAAAAAATTTAAAAAGAGAGAGAATCCAGACATGTTTTATCTCATAGGGTTAAAATGTAACAAGTTACTCATCTCTGTTTAACAGCAAGTAGTGAGATCAACCTAGAACCTGTCTTTGGGATCAGATAAACTTGATAGATTTTTACACTCCAGCTCAGCCACTTACTAACCATATGATGTGTTGTAACAGTTTTAAAAGTTGGTTTCTGCCCTGATTGCAACAATCGCAAAATGTCAACAACTTAAAAGAATAAAGTTGTGTGTGTGTGTGTGTGTGTGTGTGTTTCTTAGTTATACCACACATCCAAAATGGGTGAGTTAGGAGGTCTATTTATTATTCAGAGTCCTGGTAACTCAGGATTCCGGACTGATAATCTGGTAGGGCTTCATGGGAGCACTAAATTTTGAGTAGGAATGTTAGTACCAGCTACAGGAACATAGAATCCACTGTGCTAATATATGTGTATAATTTATCTTTATATTTTACTTAATATTTATTCAACCTTGGGTAATTTTGTTGATCATTCTTTAAACTCTTCCAATACTTCTAATGGTGATGTAGGCGCCAGGAGTTGTAGTAGATACTAAAGGAATGATAAGAGAGACAGACATGGTCCCTGGCCTCAGTCAGTTTATGATCCCTAGAGATCCATTACAACAGCATGAACCACAGTCTGGATAAGTGCCACCAAAACTTATGGAGAGTCAAACCTGCTCTGGAATATTTGGCTAGAGAGAGGCGTATTTACCCGTAATGGTGGTGTTTGCTTTTCATTTTCTTTTGATAGATTATTATTTTTTTAATTTTATGACAACTCCATCTCTTCAACTTATTTTTAAGTGAAAGCTCTGGACTATAATAACAACTAACATTTATAGAGCTTTAAACATGTGCCTAGAATGTGCCTCTTCTAGATGATCTCACTTAACCCTAACAAAGAGGTTTTGAGGTAGATATTAATATCTTACACTGAGGAAATTGGGGGGAAAAAAGTCAAAAAATTTACCCAAGTTTGCAAAGCTGAAATGTAGTTGAGCTGGTACTTGAAACAAAGCAGATTTAATATAAAGCTATTCTTTGCTATGTTGCTTTTTTGAATTCCAGAGAGCTAATTTCTAGTTCAATTTTTAAATCAGTCATCCTTTCAAGGATTCTAAGTTCTCATTTGTCCTTCAAATTCTAAAATTCTAGGATTCTCTCTTAAAACAAATTCTCACATTGCTATATATTTTAAATGTAACTGGGGTCCACAGCTCTAGTAGAGAACATATTTTTAATTGAAGAGTCTTTCTCTTTCTGTCTTTTAAATATTATTTGTTTTTTCCTTAGGTTTCTACAGAAGAAGGCTTGAGTCTGGCCCAAGAATATAATTGTGGTTTTTTTGAGACCTCTGCAGCCCTCAGATTCTGTATTGATGATGCTTTTCATGGCTTAGTGAGGGAAATTCGTAAGAAGGAGTCCATGCCATCCTTGATGGAAAAGAAACTGAAGAGAAAAGACAGCCTGTGGAAGAAGCTAAAAGGCTCTTTGAAGAAGAAGAGAGAAAATATGACATGATATCTCTGCTTTTGAGTTCCTCGCTCTCTCTGAATTTTATTAGTTGGACAATTCCATATGTAGCATTCTGCTTCAATATTCTCTGTGTGTGTGTCTCTCTCTCTTTAAATATCTGCCTGTAGGTAAAAGCAAGATCTGCATAACTGTACCTCTTGAGATAGTTTTGTTTTGCCTTTAACAGTTGGATGGATTTTGTCAATCAGCTGGATATGCTGTTTAGTTTTTACAATATATTACTAAATAAAATTGACATTCCAATTGCCTCATTTCCCTTTAAAGAGTCTAGCTTCATTTGGTATGCTGTCTGGTTATAAAGGAAATATGCAAAATTGCAGCCAGAATGATAAAAGGCTCAGGGGATCTGCCTTTGCCTGATAACACTCTGGTTGTTTGCATTTCAGGAATCTCAGTAAATAATGAAGAAGCTCAGGATATAATTCAGAGCAGAAATCTGCAGCCTGGTCTTTTCTTATTGTAGAAGTCATGGTGCTTCTTCTTGAATGCTCCAGAGATAAACCTTACAGGAATTATTAATAATAGGAACCGGTTTGGGGTCATTGGAGAGCTGAAATAAAATATCTACATATTTACAGTGCTCTGCCCCAGTTAAGTTGTGGCAAAAGTATCACAGTGAAGGCACTGGGCTGTGGCAAAAGGATGTCATCTCTGTAGTGGGAAGAGAGAACCTGCTATGAATTTGGTGGTTCATAAGCTCATTAAAAGACGCTTTGCTCCCCCCATTGAGAAGTCCTTCTTAGGGTTGCTTCACCTGCATCAGGACCATTTGCACGGTATGAGACTAGAGGGCTCCAGAGAACCTATGAGCTCCCTATATTGCCAAAATCTCCTCTCTTCCCTTACATGAACTGCTACCAGAGGCTTTTCTCTTGTTTGTTTTACAATGACTCATCATGTAAAATGAAATTGCCCATTCACTCATTTTTTCTCATAGTGTGAATGGGTTTATTAAATTCAAGCTCAGAAAATACACTACCAGAGAGCACAGTTCTGAATGTTTAATAGGCAAGCGTGAAGAGGAAAACCATAAAGCTAAGCATGCGATGGAATCTATCAAGCCCATCTTCATGGGTTGAGGACTGTTTTTAATCATTAATTAGGGAAAAAGAGAGATGAGGGGCATAGTTATCATTCAATATTCAATCACTTCTTCTTCATTATTCACAATGCCTCTGGTACTTGCTAAACTCTGAGAATTCAGAAATGAATCACTTATACATGGGCCCTGTAGCTTAACATTTACCTATGAGTTTCACTCCACTGAAAGAACAATGAGATTACAAATTCTCAGACAAGAAAAAGACATTTTACATCGTGATACAGATACAGCTAAAAGAGAATTTAGGGAATATCATTTTTTAGATGCTGAACTGGAAATTAGCCTTTCACGATATTGTACTTACAGGTCCTTTTATTGCTTGAGGCCAAAGCTGTTTCTCAAACCCACTTAGACTTCACTTTTTTTCTCTTAGACCCTGGGATCAAGGACATTGTCATGTACTTATGTTAGTAACTACTGCCACTTTATCCCTAGGGTTTTACTCAAGCCACATCTTCTAAGGAGTGAGGCACAAACTAATCAAGTTTCCCCCATCTTATATTGCCACATCTTATATTGCCACTAAAACCAGATCCACTGTACCTTTTAATTGTAAAGGATTCATAATTAGGAGGAAAGCCAAAAAAATAATAATAACAAACATGGAGATAACATGAAGACATTAAGATAGCAAGATTCCTTCTTATAGTCTTAGAACTGGTCATTGTTTTCTCCTTTCTTGGCCTTGGATTGTTTAATCCTTTGCTTTTGTCCCATTAAACGGGCACACTCACCTCCAGTACATTCTTTGCCTTTTGCAGCCCAGGGTCCCAGAACCCTCCAAACCTGGGAAGGTCCTAAGAATCCTGCCCTCCATCAGTGACTCTCCTGTTTACCAGAAGATGCAATCTAGGAAATAATACTTGGCACCTATTTTCCAATGATGAGCCTGCATTTTTGAAAACCTGTTGATTGCCCTATACATAAATGATAGTGTTTGGCACATTTTCTAGCACAATCAAATCTTCATACATTTTAACTTTTATCTTTCATTGTCAACTCTTCTGCCTTTGGCTCTAGAGTTCTATAGCTCATTTCTCCTTTCCTCTATCTCTTTCCTTATGCTTCTAGAGTTCTGGAAAATATTTATGTAGCTTAGAAATCATCAGTGAGGCTTGGATTGGGGAACAAATACAAAGTCCAATCATTTTATTCTATAGTAGAAAGGAGTTCTATAAATTATAACCCACATGCTAAAAGAATATAAGGTAATTATCACCAGCAGAGACAGGCAGACATTGAGCATTATTTTAAACCAGTCTTTCTTTCAAAAGAATGAACCAAAAGAAAGTGTCCCATAATAAAACCTAGATATTTATGCCAAGGACTATTGATATTGATAATTTGTGTAAGAATAAATTATAAAGATCTTGTTTCTAATCATATCCCTGAAAATTTCTTACCAGACTAAGGACGTCTAAGTAATTCCAAAAACTCAGAGAACTACAGTGTGCATACGCCTTCATTGCCAAGCAAGTCTCTGAAAGCTTTTGCCCAATATGCTAAATGTTCATTGTAGGCCAATGTGTAGTCACCCCACACAATTTATCAAATAGCAATGAAATGCCTACTAGGTACCAAAAACTATTCTGGATACTGCGCGCGCGTGTGTGTGTGTGTGTGTGTGTGTGTGTGTGTGTGTGTGTATTTGGTGAAAAGGTACTGGGAAATTCTGAATACAATCTCTGCCCCTCAGAAAAGTACCATTTACCTATGTTAAGGTATTTCTTTATTAATTTATCTTATAGACACACATGATTAAATAATTTTTCAGATGAGAGACAAATGGGAGCCTAAGATGTTATATATTTTGTTCAGGAAGCACTAGTTGAACCCACAAACTTCTGTAGAAAATATCAATGAGGAAAAATTATGGGCAGTTGGGCTGCACATCATTTGTATGATGCTCAGATGCACAAGGAACAGATAGCTGCTTTATTTCTCTATAATTCATATGTTATTTCTCATGAACCCCTGACTAATGGGGAGCTGGTGGTAGATGGGACTAAATTTTAGCTCACGCCAGTAATTTAGTGCTAATCTGAGACAATAATTTAAGGCATTTCTTTAACTAACCAACCTCTGCTGTGTGCAGTTGGGTCACTGTTTGATTATTCAAAGTTCTTCTCTGTTTATTCTCCTTTTCAAATTGCATCTGAGTATAGGAGAAAGGTGTGGCTTTAGTGACCTCATGGTAGTAGTTTCTTTCTCTTATCTTCTATGCCCTGTGGTATCCTCCGTATTTTCTGTGATCTTTTAAACTCAAGGTCTTGTCTTACTCTGTTTACTGGGCTGACTGTGAGGTATGTCAGGGGTTGGAAAGTGTGTCATGAAAAACAGCCAGTCTCTACGGGAGCCAATGATCTTGTCCCTTTTCCATGGGTCTCAAGGTCCTTTCCAACACAGTGTCTTTATTCTGACCCAGGTCCTTCTAGTCCACCTTGCCCAGCACCTCTGCCTCCCTTTTGGATCCCTGGCATGCACGAAGAGGGCACTGGGATCCCTGAGTACTGCTTCAGTGAGGCTATTCTAGCTCTCTGCACCCCCTCGGTCTAGCCCATGTGTGGATGCCCCAAGGAGTCCAGTTTATTCGTAATATTCCTTGGCAAAAGTGATATACAAGCACAGACCAATGGGAATGGAGGTTGCCTGAAAATACTGTGTGTGCTCATGGCTATGAAGAAGTTTGTCAGTAGCTCCAGTGTTCCCAAAGCAACCTCACACCATATTCAGCCTGAAAGACTTTGGGTGGTGAGTTAAGAAGAAGATTCTGGTGAGTGACCCATTTGCTTTATTTATTTATTTTTTTTAATTTTTTTAGAGACAGGGTCTTTCTCTGTTTTCCAGGCTGAAGTTCAACGGTGCGATCATAGCTCACTGCAAGCTCGAACTTTTCTTTTAAGTAATCTGACAAGATTGCTGTTCTTCTGATAAGAAACAAAACAGAATTTAGTAGTCAAAGTAGTGAAATGATGCCCTTTTTTAGGGGGCTTCTGTTCTTCCACTGAAGCACTAAATATATATAAAGATATATTTATATATCTTAAAAACATATATATATGTGTGTGTATGTATATATATGCATATATATAATATATGCGTGTGTGTGTGTACATATATACACACACACGCATATATATATATATAGAGAGAGAGAGAGAGAGAGAGACAATGATGGTGCAATACAACTTTCAAGATATGGAAACAATTTTAAAAATTTAAGAATAGAGGATGTGGTAGCCGTGGCGGTTACAACCTTTATCCCATTACTTTGAAGCTGGAGCAGAATGGATTACCTGATGGGTCAGGAGTTCAAGACCAGCATGGCCACATGCGGCAATCCCTGTCTTTTACTAAATACACAAATTAGTGTGGTCATGGTGGCGCTGCATATTGTAATCCAGCTACTTTGGCTGAGATGCAGAGATCTTTGGAACCTTTGGAGGAGGTTTGCAGCGGCCCGGATTTCTGGCTTGCACCCGCCTGGGTTAAAACAAGAGGCGAGATCTTCATCTTAAATAGGTAAAGGTAGGATATTGGTAGATAGATAGATGGATAGCTAGGTAGAATAGATAACAGACGTAAGATACCTAGATATGGATAGGGATAATAGGACGCATTGAGTAGATAGACATGATAGACAGACAGATAGTCTAGATAAGATATTAGATGATGATAGATAGATGATAGGATATAGATTAGAGTGGCGGGCGGTACAGTAGCTCACCCCTGAATGGGCCAGCACTTTTGGTGAGGCCCAGTTCGGGCAGATCACCTAAGGTTCAGGATTTCAAACCGCCTGGGGCTAACATGGTGAACCCCACTTCTACTAAAATTACAACATTAGTGGGTGTTTGTAGGTGCGCGGCTGTAATCCCAGGTACTAGGAGGCTGAGCAAGTAAGAAATCGCTTGACTCAGGAGGCGGAGGTTGCAGTGAGCGAGATTTTGCCGTTGCACTCCCAGGCTGGAGCAACAAGGCTAAATTTCTGTCTTAGGAAAACAAACAAAAGATGATGACTAGGATAGATAGGATAGATAGTAGATAGATAGATGAGTAGGATCGGACGACAGATGATTACAGATCTTAGATCTCCTTTGCATATGTCGCTAGATAGCCTTCTTTTGACTGTGTGTTCTTGTCTTCTTG